GGTACTTGGTCATCTCCTCAGCATTGGCTTTGTGAGGGCGATAGATTTCCATTTTTTGCTAGAGACCATAGTTGAGCAGCAAATTATGAGTCATGCGGATACGGTGAGGCTTCATTGGGTGGCCTTGTCCGTAGTAGTGATTTTCAACATCCCCATCGTAGTAGTAACAGACTTTCCTCCCGGTGCCCTGCGTCTGCGCCGTCTTGCTCGCCTCCCGTCCCTACCATCAGTCGGTCCATCTGCCCTCAAAAATTTTTATTATTTATTATAAAATTGAATCCAGTAATAAAGTGAACAATTGTCATGATCAAGTTTAGTTTCTTCTATGGATTCAAAGGTGATATGATATTTTTGAAATTCATTTAATTATTATATCAAAGTTTGGATAGCTTTAGTTTCATGAGTACTCTCTTGTCCTATGATATATTTAACATATTTTTAAAGAAAATACCTTAATGTGGTTGGGTGTGGTGGCTCATGCCTGTAATCCCAGCATTTTGGGAGGCCAAGGTGAGTGGATCACTTGAGGTCAGGAGTTTGAGACCCGCCTGGCTAACATGATGAAACCTCATCTCTATTAAAAATACAAAAATTAGCCAGGCGTGGTGGGAGGCGCCTGTAATTCCAACTATGCGGGAGGCTGAGACACCAGAATCGCTTGAACCCGGGAGGCAGAGGTTGCAGTGAGCCAAAATCATGTCACTGCACTCCAGCCTGGGCGACAGAGCAAGACTCCGTTTAAAAAAAAAAAAAAGAATTGACTTGTCAGTTTCTACATAAAATCTGCTGAAGTTTTCATAGGGGTCAAAATATACCAATTTGCAACTAACTGACGTCTTTATAATATTGAGTTTTTCAATTAACATGTCATATCCCTCCATTTATTTTGATCCTCCCTAATTTCTCTTAATAATGTCTGATAGCTTTCTGTATAGGGTTTTTGCACGTGTTTTGTTAGATTTGTTCTTAGGTATTTGATGCTATCATAAAAAGTATCTTTTTTTCCTCAAATTTTAATACTGATTGATTTTTGTGTATTGACCTTTTATCCAGTGAACTTTCCTAATACACTTACTATTTCTAACAGATGTGTATAGATTATTTTAATCTTTTCAATACATAACAGTGTCATAAGCAAATAATAAATCTCTTATTTTTTCACTTCTAGTGCTTTTACCTTTTATTTATTTTTGCTACTTTATTTCACTGGCTAGCACTTTCATTACAGTGTTGAATGTAAGTGATGACAACAGGTGTTCTTGTTTTATTGCCACTCTAAGGAGGAAAACTTTTAATATTTCACCACTAAATATGATGTTTGCTATAAGATTTTGTTTCATATACTAAGGATGTGTTCTTCTATTCCTGGTCTGCTAGAAATGTTTTTCTTATTACAAACATGTATAGAATTTTAACCTTCATCCTAATTCATTTATTGAGATTCTCATAGACTTTATCTAATTTATACCTCTTTTCTCATTTTTCCTTGATGTTTACCCATTCAAATAATTGATGATAAATTGATTTTTCTTGACAAAAAGTTAATTTTTTATTATTATAATGAATGCAATATTTATTAAGTTCATATTAAGGTTTTTTGTTTGTTTGTTTGTTTGTTGGTTTGTGTGTTTTTTGTAGAGATAGAGTTTTACCATGTTGGCCAGGTTGGCGTTGAACCCCTGGCCTCTAGTACTCAGTCCGCCTTGGCCTTCCAAAATGCTGGGATTACAGGCATGAGCCACCACACCCAGCCACATTAAAGTATTTTCTTTAAAAATATGTTAAATATATCATAGGATGAGAGAGTACTCATGAAACTAAAGCTATCAAAACTTTGATATAATAATTAAATAATTTTGAAAAATATCATATCACCTTTGAATTCAGAGTAAACCAAACTTGATCATAGCAATGTATTTTATCACTGGATTCAATTTTATAATATATAATAAAAATTTTTGTTTATGTTCATTAGGGAGATTGACCTTTAAATTTTACCAAAGTGCTGAGATTACAGGCATGAGCCACTGTGCCCGGCCTGACAAGTCAATTCTAAAAATTATATTGGGACTGCAAAAGCATAAGAATATTCAGAGCAATCACAGCGAGGAAGAATAAAACGAAACCACCAGATATGAAAACCTATCATTAATAGATGTGGACTAGTTCAGCATGGTATTACTGGTGCATCTGTAAATAGAATAATGGAATCGAGAATCCAGAAACAGATCAACACATGTATGTTCACAAGATTTATAACATAGTTTAAATGCAACGGAGAAGAAATGTTTTGCTTAAACAGGTCATTTTTATATTCGTATGAAGGAAAGACCCTTACTTCACACCACAAAAATGGATTTCTCAATGGATTGAAAATCTAAACATGTATGAAACTTTTAGAATCTAACATGGGGAAATAGCTTCATTACCAATAGAATAAACGTAGATTTCTTTTTTTTTTTTTTTTTGCAAATTATTGTGGATTTGTTTTACATAATTTGCCTTCCCTTAATTTCAGAATAGTCACTAAGTATTTTTTATATTCAATATTTTCACATAAATTGTGTTTAATCAAGAGTAACAACAAATTAGACAATCTTTCTTGAGTGATTGCATCTCTTAGATAATATTTATTGATTTCAATTTGGAGTAGTATTATTTACTACACAGTCACAATTAGAATGACCAAATCTTTTTTTAACTTTTATTTTATGTTTAGGGGTATATGTGCAACTTTTTTATATAGGTACACTGTGTCACTGGGGTTTGTTTTACAGATTATTTTGCTACCCAGGTGTTAAACCTACTATTCATTAGTTATGCTTCCTGATCCTCTCCCTCATGCCACTCCTCACCATCAGGTAGGTGCCAGAGTCTGTTGTTTCCCTCCATGCATCCTTGTATTTTCATCATTTAGCTCCCACTTATAAGTGAGAACATGCGGTAATTGGTTTTCTGTTTCTGTGTTAGTTTGCTAAGAATAATGGTCTCCAGCACTATATGAGTTCCTGTGAAGAACATGATCTTTTTCTTTTTTATGGCTGCATAGTATTCCACAGTGTATATGTACCATATTTTCTTTATCTAGTTGACCATTGATGGGTATGTGAATTGATTCCATGTCTTTGTTATTGTGAATAGTGTTGCAGTGAATATATATGTGCATGTGTATTTATGATAGAATGATTTATATTCCTTTGGGCATATACCCAGTAATGGGATTGCTGGGTTGAGTGGTATCTCTGGATTTAGCTCTTTGAGAAATTGCCACACTGTTTTCCACGATGGTTGAACTAATGAACTCAACAATGAATAAGCATTCCATTTTCTCCACAAGTTTGCCAGCATCTGTTACCTTTTGACTTTTTAGTAATAGCCATTCTGACTGGTATGAGATGGCATCTCATTGTGTTTTGATTTGTATTGCTCTAATGATCAGTGATGTTGAGCTTTTCTTCACATGCTTGTTGGCTGCATGTATGTCTTCTTTTGAAAAGTGTGTTCATGTCCTTTGCCCACTTTGTAATGGAATTTTTTTTTTTTTTTTTTTGGTAAACTTGTTTAAGTTCCTTATAGATGCTGAATATTAGACTTTTGTCACATGCACAGTTTGCAAATATTTTCTCCCATTCTATAGGTTGTCTGTTTACTGTGTTGATGTATGTTTATTTTGCTGTGCAGAAGCTTTTAAGTTTAATTAGGTCTCATTTACCAATTTTTGCTTTTGTTGCAATTGCTTTTGGCATTTTTGCCATGAAATCTTTGCCCATTCCTATTTCCAGAATGGTAGTTCCTAGGTTGTCTTCCAGTGTTTTTATAGTTTTGGGTTTTACACTTCAGTCTAAACCATCATGAGCTGATTTTTGTATATGGTGTAAGGAAGGGGTCCAGTTTCAATCTTCTGCGTGGCTAGTCAGTTATCCCAGTGCCATTTGTTGAATAGGGAGTCTTTTCCCCATTGCTTGTTTTTGTCAGCTTTGTCAAAGATCAGATGGTTGTAAGTGTGCAACCTTATTTCTCGGCTCTCTATTCTGTTACGTTGGTCTATGTGTCTGTTTTTGTACCAGTATCATGTTGTTTTGTTATTGTAGCCCTGTAATACTGTTTGAAGTCTGGTAATGTGATGCCTCCAGCTTTCTTCTTTTCGCTTAGGATTGCCCTGGCTATTCAGGCTGTTTTTTGGTTCCATATGAAGTTTTAAGTAGTTTTTTTCTAGATCTGTTAAGAATGTCCTTAGTAGTTTGATATGAATAGCATTGAATCTATAAATTGCTTTGGGCAGTATGGCCATTTTAACGATATTGATTCTTCCTATCCATAAGCATAGAATGTTTTTCCAATTGTTTGTGTCATCTTTGATTTTTCTTGAGCAGCTCCTTGTAGCTTTTTTGTAGCTCTCCTTGTAGAGATCTTTCACTTTTCTGGTTAGTTGTGTTCCTAGGTATTTTATTCTTTTTGTGGCGATTGTGAATGGGATTGCATTCCTGATTTGGCTCTTGGTTTGACTCTTGTTTTGTACGGATGCTGGTGATGTTACTACATTGATTTTGTATGCCAAGACTTTGCTGAAGCTTAAGAAGCTTTTGGTCTGAGACTATAGGGTTTTCTA